AGTGGTGGTCACCATCCCTGGAGGTGTTTAAATGATGTGTAGATGTGGTGCTCAGGAACATGGTTTAGCGGTGGGCTTGGCAGTGCTGGGTTAGCGATTGGGCCCAATGATATTAAAGGTCTTTTTCAATCTAAATAATTCAATGATTCTATGATTTTCATTGCCTCTATAACCATAACATGCATTCCTCTTGTATGCTCAAATCTAGGACAAGGTAGCACAACTTAAACCACTTTGAATCTCCTTGACTTGTGTTTTCACCTGACAGATACAACAGAATGTCACATAGACACCTAGTTTGATCTTACAGGCCAAGAGCTCTCCCTACCTACAACTTAAAGCAGTTACAGTAGGACCTGCACAAAAACAATGTCTGAAGCTCTGTGCCCCTCTCCTGGCTGCCCACAAGTAGTGCATGCACATGTGCTCCCAGGCCAACAGCCTTCCTGTAACCATTGTTTCAAACTCCACTACTGGGATATCAAAATATCTGCCCTTCAGTCAGCAGCAGAGGTTGCTGCAGCCTCTGGAAGGCAAGATGGGAGACAATGTCTCTAAACTGCATAACACCAGCAGGATATAAAAGTCCAACCTAATCGTATATCTAATGTAGGCTGAGATGATAGTATTATTTGAGCAGAGCCCAATGTGAAGCTTCCAGCTTCATTGACCCCAATTCATTGCAGAAGTATCTTCATGCTGAAGAGATCTGTGCACACAGATGGGTCAGAGGACACTATAAACTAGATAAAAACTCATTAGACTAGTAACATGTATGTTCAGCTCCTGCCCAGCCACACTACGCTGGCATCCTCTCCATAGCAATGCGCACGTGACAATGTGTGTCAGCACATCCCCAGGGTCCTTATGACACCATGTCAAATTTAGTTTCAGAATAAAGGTAGATGAGACAAGATCTTAGGAAGAAGTTCTTCCCTGTGAGGGTGGTGAGGTCCTGGCACAGGTTGCCCAGAGAAGCTGTGGCTGCCCCATCCCTGGCAGTATTCAAGACCAGCTTGGATGGGGCCTGGATAGGAACTGGCACTGCACACTCAGCCACTTTGCAGGGCCAAGTGGCTGTTCAGGTAGAAAAGAAGAACAGAGAGCTGGAAAAGCACTTCATAGAACCCCAGGCTGGCTTGGCTTGGAAGGGACCTTAAAGCTCATTCAGTTCCAATCCCCTGCCATGGGCAGGGACACCTTCCACTAGACTAGGTCTTATTCTTCTAAGTTACAGGGTAAGTGGCAAGCTGAGGAAGCTCAGCAGTAAGGGTTTAATGGAACTGATGAAGGAAACCAGAGTGATTTCTCAAAAGGAGAGTATTTTAGCTCTGACAAGCACTTATCAAGTAAGAACATGAACTCTGGCAGATGTAGCAGTGGTGGGATAATCTGGCTGGCATATTTGCTGTAACAAAGATACTGGCTTTATCCAGAGGACAAAACACACTCTTAATAAGGCAGTATTACCTTCATTTGTCATTAAAGAAAACTGAGGCAAGGAAGAGCTTTGAGTTGCTTCCTGCCAGACAGAGGCAGAGCCAGATGAATAGTAAGTTCTTAAAAAAAGCTACAAAATCATGAGCCATATGCTGTGCTATCAGACAATGCGTTTTATAAAAAGCACATTTGGGAACAGAAGTGGCTCTGTGTGAAGAAAGCATTCACACTGTGCCTCTACTGCATTACATCACATCTCTGTTAAGCAACTGGCTCAACCAAAAAGTTTGAATGCAGCTCTTGTAATAGCTGGTCATCAAAAACTGTGTAGAAGAATCCCTGATCACGATCAGAGAGGCTTGGGCTCCTGAGGTTTCTCTTACAATCTGTGGTGTTACAGTGTATCAGTTCTCCAAACATTTCTTGCTGCTGCTCTTCCTGGTTGCTGTTGGATCTGAATGACACAACTTAACGGCTTCCAGGGCGGCAGAAGCAACGAAACCCTTCATTTGACTGAGCGAAAATAAACCAGTGCCAGAGGACAAAGACATTGTTTAGAGCAAAGAAGACCAAGGAAGAAACATGGGTGTTTTGTAAAAGGGTAATTTAGACAGCTGAGAAAGTGCTGTTTGAGAGCTACATTTCAGAACTATTTGTATCTAACTGGGGGTCCACCCTCTATGCTGCCTCACCTGCTCCAAGAAAATACACTGAAGAGATAAGCAAGAGGAGCTTAGAGTCTTATGAGAAGTTAATGTAACACTTAGGTGAAGAAAATGGTTTGGTTTCACTAACCATTCCAGCAGGAATTCACCACCAGGAAGCTTGTCTGACCCTGTCTTCAGGGGTGTCAGTAAATGCACAGCTTCGACTTTGCTCATCATAGGTGGCAGACAGGCATGGAAACAGACTGTGAAGGGAGTCCAGGGGCTCTCCTGCAGAGGTATCTCCTAAAGCCCTGGCTGGACAAACATCATCCTGAAATGGGTTAGGCGGGGCTAATCAAAGAATATCTCAAATTGGAAGGGACCCATAAGGATCGAGTCCAGCTCCTCACTTCAGGGAAATGGAGGCCAGGTCAGCTCATACATCTTTTCAAAAACAAGCCATTAAGACCCAAACAAATATTCCCTGTGAATGCATAACTAATGAACATCTCAAATTTTGCAATCCAGTAAAAAACAAGCAACGAAAACCATTGTGGCAATCCTGTAAAGGGTGTCTATTGACTGCTTTCTCATGATCAGTAGTCCTCCAGTTTAAAAGCCAAGGGACACAGGGAGAAATGACACTTTTAAGTCCTTTTTAGACCTCTCTAATGAGGGTTTATTGTGCCAGTCTGCAAACACACAAGGTCCAACTCCTCTATCTTATATAGTTTGCTACAGCACAATTATAAAGGGCAGTTTGTGTTGTAAAAAGTACAGGGGACCCCTTTGTTGTATTTCTGAACAGAAAAAAACACTCCAGCCAGCAACAAATGAAAAAAAAAAAAATCCACAGAACATCAAATTGACTAACTAAAATACTGTCACTTAAAATTACAGCATCAGATTTTTAAGGGTTTTACTGGTGTTCACTCCTAAACACTCAGGTTTACTAAAAGTGACACTGCCTAGTTACAAAAACCCAGTGACACTGAGGACTACTCCAGGGATTTCTTTTGTCCTCACTCTGAGAGTAGCTGCACGAAATGTTGGCAAATAAGCAACTGTCTGCACCCAGCACAGAGAAGAAAAATGCTGTTACAAATGCAGGAAATTCATGATCTAGTTATTATGCTTATAAATTCACTAGATCTCAAAAACACCATCTCATTAAAATATACCTTCCATTAAAAAATGCTTCTCATCACACAATCATAGAATCACAGAATCAACCAGGTTGGAAAAGACCTTTAAGATCATCAAGTCCAGTCTTTGCTCCAGCATTGCCAAGTCCACCACTAAACAAGATCCAATCACAGATGCACCTAAACTTGTCCCCCTTGGAGCTGAAGCACTCATCACAGCTTCTGATGTGCTACATGAAGTCTATGCTACAGGGTACGAATATAGAGACTGTGAATTTCCACCTGCCACCACCACTCCACACCAAAGTCAAGAAAACACAAAATCACCCTCTCATGTTTCACAGAAATGCAATTTATAAAATCAATAGCTTATTGATTGCTTGGCAGTGTCTCTTATGACTTCAGTAAACAGCTCTCATCCACATGGGACAAAGCAGACAGGAACTACTTCTAATCTCGCATGGTTGCACGAACATAGCTCCAAGCATGTTACTTGTAAGAGGAAAAATGACACAAGCAGGACTGCGTTATCCATCATGGCCATGGCTTTGTAGAGATCTGCACTTTCCAATCTATATCTGATTTTCCTGCTGCAGGGAAATTAACAATAGACATTTGACATTATAAACATCCCCTTACACAATATTTATTCATCATAAAAATCCAGAAATGGACAACAGACAAAAGCTTCATTAAAATGCACAGGCTATTATGTGCCATTAAGTTCTTAAGTGCAGCAGCATTTATCTTGCACATACTTCAACTACTTTGTCAGGCACAGCTTCCCGTTAGGCTCTCTGGCAGGACAGCTGGCCCTGAGCTGCTGAGGCAGAGCACCAAGATGTCAGTGACACCAGCATGCTGTCTCCTCTCACCACCTCCAGAGGCAGAGCTTTCACTCCTCTGGCCAAGAAATAGCCATGCACCCTTTGCACTTGAGGTTTCCAGTTTGAAGTCCCCAATATCCAAGCGCATCCGCAGGTCCAGCAACATCTCCCAAGATTCGGATCTTGCTGTCACCTCCCGGTAATGCCATACAAAAGAAAGCACACCATATCACTCCTGTCTGCCTCCTCAACTTAGGTGCACCTTCTACAGATGCTTAGAAGCACCCACATCCCATACCTGCTTCCAAAGGACAACCATCCTGATGACTGCAGGAACTAAGTCCTACAGAGATAGCCATGTGCTTTCTGACTCCAATTCAACAGGACTTCAAGTAATGTAGGTTTAAGCGCACCCACACAGGATGACAACCACTGTGCTGTTCAGCAAGGTGCCAACAGGCAAGAATGACATTTACTAGGATCATTTTGCTAGGATCATTTAGATGAATCAAAAGGAAGGAAATTAGGAAATTTGCTCTGTTCCTTCTACTGACCAAATTTAGGAATTAGAACAGTTTTCCATGGGCAGACAGATGGATCAGAAATTGGTAATGGGGGAGAGGTTCCATGAAAGTTGCTGCTTCTGATCCAGTCAAGGCTAACTCTTTGTTGTCTTCTGTTGCCTCTCCTGTAAAACAAGCAGAGAACTTAACACCCAGCACATCCATCATGCAAGCTAGTTGCATCAAACAAGAACATTCTTCAACTCATGCAGCATCAAGACCACAGTGACCCAGGGAGAGAAAAGATGAGGCAGCATGTAAGACCTGCATGGCCTCTTCACTTGCTCCATGGGTTAAAGGCGGCATTTTTCTCTGGGGCGCTTAACCCTATGTACAAAAGTCAGTAAAGAAAAATATTCCTGCCTCAAGAAATAGAATAAAATTTCATGTGGTTTATATCATTTTCCCACATCACTAGGGCTCTCCAAAGAACAGGGAACCTGGCATTAGCTATTCCCATGAGGCTGGAATGGGAAGGGCAAGATGAAATACACTGAATTACACTTTTTTTCTAGATAGATCCAGTATTGTTAAGTGTCAGCTGGGGAGATAAAGAATAATAAATATTAATGACCCTCCCAGAAAATCTTCTCATATCCTTTCAGCCACCTAGCACACACTTGAAATGCAAAACCTCAGGAGTGGTATGAGCAAGCTGTAAAGCTGTCCAGTAATGTGATGCCATCCCTTTCTTATATCCTTGCTGTCTGCCTTTAAAAATTGCACTAGTCTGATCTGAAGATGTTACAGAGAAGAATTCCCACTAATGGAGAGTGAGCCTGTCCTTCCCCAAAGCTGATTCATCTTTATCTTCTGTGACAGAGAGACTGTAAATCTCTTGGTGTTCCTCACTGTAGCTGCACACTCTTCAGGCTTTTAACCATCCACCTCTGTGAACTTTCTTTTTCCATAATTCTGGACCAGACTGGAGGCTGTAATTTGAGAAGCCTGTCCTTTTTCCCAGCTCTGGAAGTCATTCAGTTCTTTCTGGCCAGCTTGAAACAAGGCTCGCTCCAGTTCATCCAGCCGAGCCACTAGTGCCGATGTGTCTTCATTGTAGGCATTCTGAGAGGAGTCCATGATATGACGAAATCGGCTAATAAACGTCTGAAGAAGATAAGGAGAATTACTGACAGGTAACACAGGCTTCTCACATGCTAAGAATCTTACTTTTGGGTGTAAGCTCCCAACTGGGCAAAGGTCTGCAAACAGCATAGCACCTATTAACATTGGCTACACAGACAAAACTTTTCTTGACTGACCTGGGAGATCAGTGCCTGATCTACTGGATGGGAAGGAAGCAAGCACACTATCAGACTTTGGCTCCTTCCTAATGACAGGCTTGAGCACAGCACAAGGTATAACGCAATTACAATCTATTTCATCTCACTTTACAAGCAATCACTGCTTTAGAGAAGGTAGACAGATCTCATGCCACAGCAGCTGCTGCAGGAACATTCAAATGGCAACTTGTGAAAGGGCCTGGAAGTTCAGCCAAGCTGCCACTGTAGAACTTTCAATATACTGAAAAAAACACTAAGCCATGAAATAGGTGAAAAAAAAAAATCAAATTAAAAAAAATAATCAAATCTACAACTAATAAATTTTGAAAAGCTAAGCAACAAGACATATTTAAGGATTTTTATTTCCTGCCTTATCTTTGCCTTTGGGAATTAAAAAAAAAGGCTGACAGTCTTTGAGAACTGTATTTTATTATTTCAGAAGCTGATTTTAATCATCAGAGCTGTACAATTTTAGAGATTTATAAAATGATACATTCTAAATTAACAATTCTCTTATTGGCTTTGCTACCGAATAGTTACCCTTCACATATGTAGTCCCTAAATGGTTGGGAGAGAGTTTTTTTTTTTTACGTTTTGTTTATTTTTTAAGTCAGCACAACTCCCCTCTTGTTTGCTTTTAATCAGGGGGAAGCATACCTTGTGTACTTCGATTTTTCTGTCAGTAATGTGTGCTAATGTGGCTCTTTTCCCCAAGATGTCCATTAGCAGAAAGCAAAAAGACAAGAAAAGGTGTGGTCACCTTCTCCAGTGCAGAAAGAAAGCTTTCACTGGACAACTCTAAGAAAGCAGTAGTGCTTTAAAGCCTCTCTGCTTCGGCCTTCATCTAAGAAATAAGAGAGAAAAAAAAAAAAAGCCAATAGCAATCATCCCAGACTACTTAGAGAGCTGGTGGAAGAAATCTCAGAGCTGTTAGTGGTTATCTTTAAAAGCTTAAGGAGAACAGAGGTCTAGAAACTGGCAAAGATGTTATCTATTCTTCAAAAGAGATAGGGGAGATGGAGGGGGAGGAAGGAAGAGCCAAGAAATTACACATCCATCAGTATCAATTTCTGGAAAGGTACTGGAATAAATGAAGTATACATAAACTTCTGCGAGAAAACAGAGGAGTAACAGCCAACATAGATTTGCCAGGAACCAACTCTGAGAGCCCACCCTAGTTTCCTATGTTGACAGGAGGACAGGCCTTACAAAGGGAAGAAAACCAGCACACTGGTACCTGTCATGGGGCACCCATGGTCACTATGGGTGGTCAGTGAAGACAATTACACATCCTCCCTACCAAGAGGGAAGAACAAATTGGATGGAGTTCGACAGGGGTCTATCTGGAACCAAGTACTATTTGATATATTAATTGTCAAAGGAATAGAAGTTACACTTGTTAAATTAGCAAACAACATGTAGGAGAAGGAGATGGGATGACAGCAAGCATGTTAGATAGCAAAACTCTTAATTCATAAAGATTCTGACAAATTAAAAACATGGTGTGAAAACAATAGGAGGCAATTCAGCTGAGGCTAAGGAAAGTTTTACATTAAGGCAGAAATGGGAAACTGTACGTATACAATAAAAGGAGTATCTCTGTGTGTATGCAGTCTGTACCATCTTACTGTGGGCTGCAAATCAAACACCTAGCAATGTCACTTCATCATAAAAAAAAGGTGCTGCACTATGAGGAGCAAGAAGCATCACAGCCTACAAAATTCACACAGTATTCTTTTTGTTTCCATCAGCACAAGCCCTGAGCAGGTTACTGTATGCTGCTCAGGGCACTGCACATCACAGTGCATGCAGATCAACGGGAAGGACAATCAGAGGTTAGCAAGCATGGCCCACAAAGAGATGGCAAATGAGCTGGGACTGCTGCAAGAAGGAAGAGAATAATCCATCCTCAGCGTTTACTTTGGATGAGGCAAACAGAACAGAGCTTGCATTGCTGTGAAGGAGCTTTAGTTTAGACATGAGAGGAAACTTTCTATGATTAGGATGGCAAAGCACTGAAATGGATTGCCCAGAGCAGTGTCAAGTCTCATCATTACAGAGCTTTAAAAACAGAGTAGAAAAATAGAAAGTATAGAGGGTGAATTAATCCTGGCTTGCAGGGCACAATTAGATAATCTTATGTCTCCTCTAGTTTTACAGGATTTTATGAAATGCCATATTGACAGTGAGGAAAGTCCAAGCTAAAATTACACTCCTGGGTGCACAGTTGAGGCTTCTACCACCAGACTGTGCAGTTGCCAAAAAGGTCATCCTACAGCTTGATCTAGAGGACCATCATCAGTACAGCAGTCAGATCAATTAAAACAAATGGCTATTCCTCCTGAAGACTGCAAAACAGCTGGGAACAAGAGGAAGATGAAAAATGTACAATCACTTTTCAAGACTTAGTTCTGATACTTGCCTGCAGGATAGCCTGAGCTATCTCAGGGTTCTCTGGATTGTCAAAATTGAGGAGCTGGGAGCCAAATCCATAATAGTATGGCCCCATTTTATGCAGATCAACCACAGTGGCATCAGCGCTCAACACTGTCCTCCAGGCTTCCTTGTAAATCTTTGGCAGTTCCACAGAAATTATTCTTCGCTTGCTGTCATGCAGACCTTTAGCAAGCCACAGAGGGATTTCCAGTTTTGATCCCTGCATGACAGGGAAAAAAAATCAAAAGTTGTCCCTGCCATGAAAACACAAAACCTAACCCCAAAGACAGCAGTGAGCTTTATTAATAAGATTCAGTATTACAAAAAGTCTATTTTGTTTTCCAAGCAGTCTACTGTAACTGTCATAAAACCCAGGAACGCTTTATAAGCATTAATTATTACTGCAAAGATATACAATTTTTAAAAAAATTAATGTTGTAGAACCTCATAATTGACAGATTAGATATGAAGAAGTTCTTTACTGTGAGGGTGGTGAGGCACTGGAACAGGTTGCCCAAAGCAGTGGTGTATGTTGGCAGTGTTCAAGGCCAGGTTGGATGGGGCATGGAGCAACCTGCTCTAGTGGAAGGTGTCCCTGCCTGTGGCAGGAGGTTGGACCTGGATGAGCTTGAAGGTCCCTTCCAACCGAAGCCAGTCTGAGATTCTATGAAAGGCCGTCAGCCTGTCCTTAACCCTAAAGTCCCCCTGGCCTAGAGCCTACAGCTCCCAGCGTCCCTTGCGCCTCGCCTCCGCCGTCCACCCCAGCCCATCCGCGCGGGGTCTGTCGGGAGTGGTAGTTCTGCCCTTGTCCCGCCGGTTACCTCCGTAATGGCGTCCCCTCCATGGCCCAGTGCGAAACAAAGGCGCGGTAGGCTGATTTCGGCGCGGCCCGGCAGCTTCTCCTGCGACATCAGGATGTCGTCCAGCGACAGAAAACTCTCTTCCAGCCCCAGCCCGGGGCCCACAGGGAAATACGCCTCAGACATGGCCGATGAGCGGGAAACGGAACAGGAACATCACCAGCACCAGCTCCCGCCCAGCCCGTCACACACACACCCCCCTCCACCCTCCCCCCTTGTGCGCGAAATCGCACATGCGCCGTGGAGTAGCCCGCCCTTGCTGTCGCAGCCCGCCTAGAGGCTGGTATTCGTAGTCTCCTGGCCCGGTTTGGGTAGGAAGGGGTGTCAGAGCTCATCCAGGTCCAGCCCCTGCCATGGGCAGGGACACCTTCCAGTAGAGCAGGTTGCTCCAAGCCCCGTCCAACCTGGCCTTGAACACTGCCAGGGATGGGGTGTCTCAATCTCCCCTTTGGCAGGTTAAAGCCATTGCCACTTGTTCTGTCTCTGCTTAATCAGGTTTAGGAAACACACCTTTGTGCTAAACAGGGAAGCTTGCAGTGTGTGCAGGAAGACAGCCATTCAAATGGAAAGTGCGCGTTTTCTCAGGTGCAGAAGGAAGTCATATGCATCACGAGCCCAGCATCCTAAACAGTATTATACTTTCATAAATAGAATTTCAAGACCTTCCTGTGATACACGGATAGACTCCACAACTCATTAAAGTTGTAAAGTAGGCATTCTTTGTTCAGCACTGAGGCGCATGGGGGATTGCTCCTCCAAAGGCATGTGCACCTTTCCGTTGCCACTCAGTTTGTTTATATTACATATAATGATTACATAAACATGAGATTGCTTCACACCTAATTCATATGCAAAACCTAATCCCGTCTAGTATTATAATTGGTCTGGCATTTGTCCCACGGATGTGCTTGTGCAGTGCCTCCTGGTGGTGGTCGTTCGGGGTCGTGAGGATGAAGGCCTGCAGTTCCTCTTCATCACCGCAAGTAACCTCTTACTTTCACACAGACTCAATAGGGTTTCGGCTCCTATCCAAACCTCAGGTTCGGTACAAGCCGGTTTTATGTATCTTAAAGCAGAAACTTGTCAAGTTTGCAAATTTTGTTACTCTGGTTATCTTTTGTTCCTTTTCTTTCTATGGATACTATTTAAACAAGAATGTCTTAAATGTTATGAATCTTATCTACTATAATTCTGCCTAGCAGCTGCAACTCCTACAGTTCTGCTGCACCATTCTAGCAACTTTGACTCCTACGGTTCTGCTTCACCAAGCACAATGACTGCTTAAGCAAGCAGGCACAATGTTAAACCTTTATTCCCTGGTATCACCTGAAAGAAAAGGAATGTCCTGTGTCATAACTGAGTCTGTTTGTACTTGGAGGATTTGTAAACTGGAGATTTAATTCACCTCCTGCATTTGCGTAAAGTCACAACCCTTTATGTCACATGGAGCTACACTAACAGATGTAGTCTGAGGGCCGAATCAGACCCTGTAGCTTTACAGAGACAAGGAATAACAGCATCCGTTATAACCGGAGTAAAGAAAGGATCAAAAGTGTGTAAGAAGAAATGGAAAGATGTGTTGAGAGAAGGTGGTGGTGGAGAAAAAGGGGAAGGAGGCAAAGACATCTGCCCAAAACTGAGTTATTGCAAAATATTGCAGAAGTTAAATCTGTGTGATGGGTAAAATCCAAATTACTTCCAGATACGATAGGATTGCAAAGTATGGGAAAGAATGAAAACTTGGAAGTCAAGGGACAGTTGTTACCTCCCATCAGTGTACTTCTTTAAACATTGAATACCACAAAATTCAGCCAATTGAATATATCAAATAAATTCAGGAAAGGAAAACATTACCTGCTTCTTCTTAGGGATTTTAATTTGACCAGAGCAGGCTTATGTGTGTTTTGCACAGTTGCTGAGATGTGTCATGGCAGCATGTGTATGTGGTTTACAACAGAGTGAGGTGATACAGCCACTGTGAGTAGTTTAAATGACATTCAATACATGTAGTAAGATAACTGAAGAAGCTGCAGGATGTTGATGGGGGCCCAAAGCACCACTCGCTGTGACTTCTTACCTTACTTTTTAAGGTCAAAGTGACAGAGGAATCTTCAATCTCTACATATTGGACTAAACCCTCACAAACTAGGGTTGATATTAAGGCTTTGTCCTCTCTCATTTAGCATCTCAAATACCATATAGGATTATAGTATGGCTTGCTTCTCTTATTTGTGTTTGTTATCAGGTAATCAGGAACGCTGGCAGGGTTTTTCTCTGTCTTAAGATCCTTAGATGACACAACTGACTTCAGTGGAACCCAAATGTCACTGTCTAATCCTAGTTTAACAATCCTGAGTGCACAACTGAAACTCAGGCATGTGGTGTGTATCACTACAGTCCCTGGTGTAGAGTGCTTCTCTGGCATCCTTGAAAGCATCCTTCAGATACTGGAAGGCTACTCTGAGGTCTCCACTCAACCTTCTCTTCTCCAGGCTGAGAACAGTTTCTAAATGCCTGCACTTCTGTGGTTTCTGGTAGAGAGATCAGACTGGATGACAGCCATTTTTACTTCAGGTGAAACATGATGGCATGTGTGGATCCTAATGACCTCATTCCACAGACCAAGGCTTAATCTGCAACAGCTCTTAGATGCCCAACTCTGTTAGGAGGTAATTATCAATGGGACATGAGGTACCAAAGATGGGCTTCACAGCTCCTGTAGCTATGGCTTGTAGGTTTCCTGCATGGATGACTTGTGTTCGTGTGGTACAAAAATTAGTGGTACATAGAACCAAGTGAAGGAAATTAAAATCTCAACCAGGTGAGACATGCTGGTGTGTCCCAGCAGAGACAGTTGGGCCAGTGTCAGAACAGCTGGTGGTTTCAGATGTGCCTGGGGACTTCTTGGTGCACACAGAAGTTTGGTGCCCATTTTCCACAAAGAGTAGAAACACAGAGATAGTTAGCAGATCTGAATAATGTGAAGTATGAAGTGAGTCAAACCATGAAGATAAAGGTCTCATGCAATTGCTTAAAATGGCAGCATGTTGTTTATAACATCCTTGGCATTCAAGCATACTTTGGCTTTAAACTTTAAGAATTATTTTATTACAGAGCACTGTATGGGTCTGTCTGGGATGGAGTTAACTTTCCTCATAGCAGCTTGTATGATGCTCTGATTTGTATTTGTGGCTAAACCAGTGTTGGTAGTGCACCAGTGTTTTGGCTGTTGCTGAACAGTGCTTGCATAGTGGCAAAGCACATTCCGCTCCCTCCTCCAGGGAGTAGGCAGGGAGTGGGCAAGAGATAGGGAAGGGACATGACTGGAGCAACTGACCAAAGGATGTTCCGTACCATATGGTATTGTGCTCAGCAATAAAAGGTCAGGGAAAGAAGTGGAAGGGTGTTTGTCTTCGCAAGCAATGGTTACGAGTGCTGAGACCCTACTTCCCAGGCAGTAACTGGACATCTGCCTGCCAATGGGAAGTAGTGAATTAATTTCTTTTTGCTTTTCCTTTCCCTGTTAAACTTCAGCCATGAGTCTTTTTACCTTCCTTCTGTTTTGTCCCTATTCTTCAGAAAAGGGGGATGAGTGAGAGGCTAGATGGGTGTTTGGCTGCTGGTTGAAGTCAACCCACAACAAGCACTAGAAAATAGACACTCAGCTCCTGCTCCTAATAGATATTGCTCATTTTGTTTCCCTGCATGAGCTTACATTTTAAATCCAGAATATTCCTCTACTTTTCATTTTCCCTTGCATTCAGTTTCCTTCCATATAATTAGTTGAGGAGGTAATGTCTTCGTCACAGTTCTCTCTGACTGCACACACCAGAACAGTTAGCTGCTTCTGCAGAGCTGATTAGGAATGACACCTTAAAAATACTGCATCTAAATTAGCATTGAATCCAACTCTTTGCCAAATAGACAATGAGGGAAACAAAATGCCTTCAAGACATGATATATTTGTAAAGAACATTAGTAATGCAGTGAGGTAGATCAGCTTCATACATTCATTTGAAGATGAGTCTAAATTTAGATTTATTCCCCAATAGGAAGGATTTTGTGGCCTCAATTTCAATAGCGGCTTCAATCCAAAACTGCCACAGGAATTACTGCAATGAAAAGACATTGATTTGGAGGCTGGGACTGAGTGATGTAGTGGAAGCTCAACCTTCAGCCTGTAGTGGAAATGCATGGCAGAAGTTCCTTGCGTGCCTGACTTTGGTCTCTATCTAGCTCTTCTGTGAGCTCTCGATTTCACTTAAATTTAATCAGTTTCACTAAATTCTAAACTAATGATCATATTACTCATAAGGCTAAGCTGTATAATCTAATAACCTACTATTTGTGTCTTTTGTAGTTTCATGGTGCTGAAAGCATAGACTTGGTGGTGCAGCCTCTTAACTTGCTTTCAGTGTCATATTCCCTGCTGTGGTGGTCTGTAGAATCCAGGCTGTAACTCCAGGTGAGAGATTTGTTTTGGGCTAGAATTATTACCCTGATTTACAATCAGACCAGGAATACAATGGCCACATGTCCTAGAATTTGTGTGATTGTCACTGTCAGAGATCTTTAACTCCAAATTACAAAGCATTTAAAAGTATATGGGGCAGACTTGCAAAGTTACTCTGGTGTGGCTTGTGAGACTGTCTTATGCAGCATGCAAAACACAAGGCACCAGTTCCTGAAGGCATTCTGTCTTTCTGTATTAAGTGTAATAATTTCTGCCGCTTGTATATGTGTGTAGCTTCCATCAGGGAACATGGTAATGAGTTTGCATACTAAGCAGATACAAAATCCCAATTCCCCTTTAGTAATGTATAATGTCAACAGAAGCCTTTGATTGAATGCAGTTTCTTCTTACTTAGATCCTTGGGCAGGGGATTATTAATCCATTTATCTTGAATTCTAATTGTACCATGAAATGCTCATTGGCTTATGCCTAAATTTATGATTATAACTGTCTTCCTAGAACCTCTAAAGAGCCATACTCATAAGTGAATATATTTCTGGAAACCTACATTGTGGTATTCTCTTTTTGTAGTACTTTCCTTAATATGTGTGTGTGTAAATACTCTGAAAGCCTTGTTCCATCACCCAGGGTTATCCTGCAACATAACAATTCAGCAGGCACAGCCATTTCTGTGGTCGTGACATCTGGCCT